GTGAGGTGCTATTTTTATCCATCTTTGAAATTTTGCATTCGGCAATTTTTTCAATAACAATTACATATTGTTTCATATAAGAGTAGTACACCTTGTATATATCATCTGTAAAATTTTGATGAGTAGTTGTAATTGTATTATCAAGTAAATGCGAAGATTTATTTTAAATCTAAATTTTTCGAAAATTCGGGACAAATGATCTAAATCCGGAACAAATGATGCTTTTAAAAAAATCCGGGACTAAAAGTGGAAATCTGGAACTGTCCCGGTCAAACCAAGACTTATGGTCAGTTTTGATTCTAACAAATGTTTAGATACCATTGAATATGTTTACACTACAAAACATAATAATTCTATAGTTTATTATTCTCCATTTAATATTTATATGTTCCGCATATCTTAATTTTAAATCAACATAAGCATGTTCTTATCTAGAAATCTTAGAAAATGCATACAAGAATTTCCTAGCAAATTTTCTCATGCATTTGTTGAAGAATAGCAGTGTTTTCTTATCATTGAAATTCCTTCTAATCAAGACTGGTAATTATTACAATGCGTTGAATCTTAATATTTCAACAATTGAATGGTTCTCAGCAGACCAATGTACTCGTATACATTTGATTAAGTTATTATTATTTCGAATCGAAGATCATTTTTTGAGTTTACGAATAGCTTCCACTTAGTTTATGTTATGTGCAGAATTGATTGCTTTATCAATTGGCATAATACTTGTAACGAATTGAAAAATTTGCATAGGTTTTAGTACAAAGCAATCGGTTGCGTCATTAATACAAAATCGGTAAATCATACAAATATTTGCTTTGGGTGTAGAAAAAGTAATTCAAATAAATAATCACACAGCAGTCTAAATCCGTGAAGGTTAAAATCAGATTCCGACGGCGCAAATATTTACACGAGTGAAATTCCGAGGAGAAGCGTGGGTCGCCTGTAGTCGCGGTAAATAAGACCTTTTTTCCATTAAATGTAATTAGTATGAATCTTTTGATGGTTGCTTATTTTCTGCTCGAATCTGTTTTATTTCCAGAGCATGGCCGAGGGCTTTGGGTCGTAATAACTTTAATTCTCTAAGCTTGTATCAACAAATTCCGCAAATAAAACACCTATAAAATTATTTGATATAATATGCAATAAATAAGTTAACATTAATTACGTTTTTTATTGTTATATTTTTATATTTTATATAAATTCATTTAATATCTAATAATGATTTATACCCATAGTGATATCAAATAATAAATTATCTCTGCTATGATAAATTTGATCGAATCCAGCAAAATTAATTTATTGATTAAATCTATTTTTAGATAATCAATATTCAGCATTACGTTATCTACTGATTATTTTTCAAACATTGCAAATTTACTATGGAATCAGTAAAATAAAATACATGTTACGAGAAACGCATTGTACACTAAAACTATTCAGGTCATTTATGCAAGTATAGTGTAAATGTTAAACCCATAAAACTTTAATTAATTTATACTTTATTAATTAATTTGTACATTGATCATTTGCCGCTCACATTACAAGTTCGTATGTCAACAAACTTAATAAACAAAATATAAAAACTAATGCCAAATGTGGGGCCACGTAAGTTATTAAAAATTAATGATGCAAATTGTTCAAAA